CAATCCTGGAAGGATATGCAAAGGGTCCTGGGGATGTGGGTGAGACCAGGGAACTATTAATTCTTCCTATTTGGGGTTATGTGAAAGGTCCTGGGAATGTGGGTGAGACCAGGGAACTATTAATGCTTCCTATTTGGGGTGGGGTGAGTTGAGAAGTCTGAAAAAGGATTGAACTTTTGAGCTGGGACTGGAAAACAAGTAAGAGCTCATTGTGTGGACAAGGGGATGTGAGGGCCGGGGGACATTCCAGGCAGAGGGCAGCTCAGGCGCAGGAGCACGGCTCCCATGCAGGATCTAGGGCAGCAGGTGGCTGCGTCACCTGCGTCTGCTTCCGGAGTGAACCAGCATGCTCGTATGACTGACCGAGAGCCCCGAGAGGGGAGGTCAGGGCTGTCTGTGCCTGGCACACAGGAGGTGACCAGAAAACGCTTGTCGAATTAATGAGCAAGCAGTCAGAAGTGGGAAGTTGTCCTGAGCGCTCACGGTAGTGTTACATGAAGACTTGCTGTGTCTGCTGGATACCCACCATGTGCCACCTCCATACATGGAATATTCTAATCTATCCAAACAGTCCTGTGAGGTGTTGGGAGTAGTTTATAGCATCTGCATTTTATGAATGGGGAAACTGAGGCACAGAGCAGTTAAGTGACCTGCTCTAGCCCCAGAAGCAACTGAGCTTCGATGGGTTTCCGGGCGTCTGCTGCCCATCCTCCTCCCTGACCAGGTGGGCGAGGTGGGGTTGTCAGAGCCCAGCCTACCTGGGTACCGGGCTGGACGTGATTGGGTTGCTAGTTTCGGAAGTCAGAAGTGACTCTCGGGCTGCTGGGGTGTGCAGGCCTTTGTTCCGTCTCCTCCCAACCCTCCCCTCCTCCTCCTAGTCAGCCTTGCTGCTGCTCAGTCTCTGAGGGAAACAGTGGGCCCTTGTTTTCTCTGGATTCTGAACTCCAAGTGCTGCGCAGAACAGCATCCAGTGCTGGCCTCACAGGATGGTGTGACTTGGAAACGTGGCACCCACAGCCCTCCTCTGGCCATGGCGGGCGGCCCTTTCATTCAGACGCCCTTGTTACTGGCTGAGAGGGACAAATCAGACCCTTTCCTCAGAAGAGAACAAGTCCCTGGGAAAGTTCCCTTTCCTAGGGGCAGAGTGTGGTCAGAGCTGAACTGAGTTCACTTCCACCGGAGTGCCCATCCCACCCCAGTGGGAAAGGAGGCCTCTGAGGTGTCTCTCCCTGTATCCCCTGCTCTGCAGTTTCCCCCTCTTGAGGGTCCCCTCCTCTGTGGCATCCTCCTCTCCCTGAGGGTCCCCTCCTCTGTGGCATCCTCCCCTCCTAAGGGTCCCCTCCTCTGCGGCATCCCCCTTCCCTGAGGGTCCCCTCCTCTGTGGCATCCTCCCCTCCTAAGGGTCCCCTCCTCTGCGGCATCCCCCTTCCCTGAGAGTCCCCTCCTCTGTGGCATCCTCCCCTCCTGAGGGTCCCCTCCTCTGCAGCATCCTCCCCCCCTTCCGAGAGTCCCCTCCTCTGCAGCATCCTCCCCCCCTTCTGAGAGTCCCCTCCTCTGTGGCATCCCCCCTTCTGAGAGTCCTTTCCTCTCCCTGAGAGTCTCCTCCTGTGTGGCATCCCTCTCCTGGGAGTTTCAACTCCTAGGCAATGTCCTACTCCTGAGGGTCACATCCTTTGGGGTCTCTCCTCTGCCACGTCTCTCTCCTGGGGGTCCCCTCCTCTGTGGTATCCCCTCCTCGGGGTCCCTTCCTCTACAGTGTCCTTGTTCTTGGGAGCCAGCCCGCTCTCCCACGGTGTACCTGGAGCCTGCCTGAGTGCCCCTCCTGAGGGTGCAGCCCCAGGGAGCCCATCTTCTCTTCTCAGCCAGCTGGGAGAGACTGAAGCCCCCTTGAGGTGTTTTCAGGGGGATAGACCCCTCAGGGTGATTGTGGCTTGTCTGGCCGCTTGAGGAAAAACAGTGCTGGCGAGCCATTCATTCATTCCTTCATTCATTTATTTATTTTTTGAGGAAGATTGGCCCTGAGCTAACATCGGTTGCCAATCCTCCTCTTTTTGCTTGAGGAAGATTGTCATTGAGCCAACATCTCTGCCCATCTTCCTCTACTTTATATATGGGACACCCCCGCAGCATGGCTTGATGACCGGTGTGTAGGTCCGCGCCCAGGATCCAAATGCGTGAACCCCAGGCCGCCAAAGTGGAGCGCAGGAACTTAATCACTGTGCCACCGGGCCAGCCCCCTGGAGAGCCTTTTAGAGCCACCGGCACCTGCGCTTAGGCCTCAGCAAAGACACCGCAGCGAGAGATGGCCGAGCCAGCACCAGACCAGGCCTGATGTGTGTCCCAAGTTGCTGTTCTCCTGAAAGGGTTTTACTGGCATCAGAATGCTTGGAAAATACACAAAGGAAGGTGGCTGGCTTCCAGAGCTCAACTGTTTACCTTCAGTGGAGCGGCCGGGAACTCAGAGAGCTTATTTTCCAAACAGCCCATGGTTGTCAGGTCTACAGGCCTCGGGCTGCTGCCAGGCGAGGATGAGCCAGGCGCATCTCCTCTGCCCACCTCCTTCCCCAAACCCACTGGGACCCCAAGGCTCCTCTCAGGGGCTGATTTCTGTGCCCACATGCTGCACAGGAGACCTGGAAAGTTCTCTTTGGAGATGTGAATGCTGGTGGGAATGGAGTTTCTGACCGGCCCTGGGGCCCACTGCCCAGCGTCACTCGTGTGGTGGAGTTCTCTTCTATGTATAGCTGACTTGGTCTGAAAATATTGGCCTCTTGTTTTAGTGCCTGTCACAGTGGACACAGGTTACGGCAAAAGTGGGTTTGTATCTATGGCACCTTTTGAGTTCTTTGCCCGTGTTACCACCTCCCACTGGCTTCTCTACCTTCCTTCAGATTCTGTTTTTTCTGGAAAGTGGGGCTGGATGGGAATGTGATACCGAATCTGCAGACAGAACCAGAAAGTTCTTATAGTTTCCTGTTTTTATCGAAGGAGAAACTGAGGCCCAGGGATGATGAGCTGGGCTTTTGCACAGTCCCAGGACACCTGGCAGCTCGGCTGGGGGCTGGCTGAGCTCATGGGTGTCACTGTTCGGCCTCTGTCCGGGCCCCAGCTTCCCAACTGCGTGGCCTTGCCTGGTTGTTTTTCCTTCTGGCCTCTTGGTGTCCTGGTCTGTGACGGTGAGGTCGTTGTCCCCAGCGCCTGGACTTACTGTGAGGACGAGTGCCGCCTCCCTGCCCCGTTCAGGGGCCCTAGAAGGGATGGTCGGCGTCCCAGCTAGTCTGAGTCTTGTTTTGTTCTGCACACAGGCTAGTCACGGTGAGGCAGGAAGAGTCTCCTTCAGTACTTTCTTATTGTGAGGTCCGTGGGATTTTTTTTTTTTTTAAATCGGAGAAATCCCTTAACATCTTTCCTGGCAAACAGTAAAAAAGAGGAGTTAGGAGTATTAGCAGGAAAGAGCTGGCACATTCCGAAGGTTTACTGAAAAAGAGTCCAAATAAGAGAGGATGACAAGATGTGGGCAGAGTCGGAGGAGCCAGTAGGAGGTGGTGGGGCACCCCGAGAGTGCGAGCTGCTGTCACCCCAGGCCCAAGGGGATGGGAGGGCGGTGGTACGGGAGCCTAGAGACAGCAGTGGTCTTGGGAGAGGGGCTGCCCTGCTTGATGGGGGCTGGAGCTGCTGCTGGAGACTTGGTGGGGTGTGAGGGCAGTGGGAACCAACACTTAGACTTCTCTCTCCCGTCTTCTGCTGGTGCCTCGCGTTGCCCTGACTCGGCCGGAAGCAGGAGGACCAGGCAGCCGGGTGGTGTGGCTCTAGAGGACGGCCTCCCAGGGCACAGAGCGGGCTCTGGGGGTGGGGGGGCTGAATGACAAGCACAGCTTCAGATCTAGGTTTGCATCCGAGCTCCATGTGAGATCTCAAAAATCTGTGTTCTCTACCTTCATTCGTGAAATTGCTTCTTATCGCGTGGTCGGAAAAGAAAATGAAACAAATGCATGTACGTTTTAGCACAGTGCCTACCTAGAGCGATCATTTATAGCTGTCATTGTGATTTCTTTACTAACGACTTTGAAACAGTCAGCCTTGAATCCCAGAGGAAGCCCTACTTGGGGGTGGGACTGATGGCCTTCCCTGGCCTTTGCTGAGGCCATCCAGGGGGTCAGCCAGGTGCCGGGCTGGCGCCGCTGCCTCCGGGGGCCTGGCCTTGCAGGTGGCGGTGGCCGCGTGCCGGGCGGCGGACATCTGGTGGGTCAGGAAGCGTGGTGTCAGGCTGCCCCGGCTGTTGGCAGGTGCCCCTGCCTTGGGGTCAGGTGATGCCGACTGTCTGTCGGCCAGCGGCTCTGGCTCCCTTGGGGGCCGATCTTCCTAACCCTATGCTCTTGGAAAAATAAACACATCCCCAGAGGAGCAGGGCTGACCATGCCTCACAGGTCCAGGCAGCCCCGCACGCCTTGCTTTGTCACGATCAGCCCTGATTGCAGTGTGAAGTGCAAGCGCCTGGTCTCCCGGAGAGGCAGCTCTTAGATTCATGAAGATCACAGCCTTGCCAAGACTTTGTGTCATTTCGCGGAAAGAGTATCCGCTTGGATCTTGGTTCAGATCTGGCTGTGTGACTTCCGTTGCTTTACTCCACCTCGCTGAGCCCTGGTTTCCCTACCTGAAAAATCTCGGTGGTTGGGCAGAGGGGACATGTTCATTAAATGCTTCCTCCGTGAAGCAGTTTCACAGTGGCACTCGCTTGACCTGTGGATCCGTTGTCGCCTTGATTCCGTGTGTGTGTCTTCTGTATCCTGGGTAGCATGGGGCTCGGGGCCAGAAGTACAAACATGGGGCCTGCCCGGGAGGTCTGGGATCTCAGTGAGTTCGGCCCGTCAGTGTTCCCGTGAGTGCAGCCCTCCTCCCGCCCCCGACTCCGGGCTGCAGGGACGTGCAGAGGGTGAGGATAGCACGGGCTAGTGCCTCAGGTGCTGAAGTTGTGCTTTTTCTCTGTGTGCCCCCTGCAGCTGAACCTCAGCCGGCCGATCGAGGAGCAGGGTCCCCTGGACGTCATCATCCACAAGCTGACCGATGTCATCCTGGAAGCCGACCAGAACGACAGCCAGTCCCTGGAGCTGGTGCACAGGTTCCAGGTGAGGGAGCACGGTGAGGAGGGAAGGCCCAAGAATGGCTCTGTGCATTGCTGAAGCTGTAGCAACTGCCTTGCTGTGTGGCCCATAGTCGTGGCTCTGCCACTGCCAAGACACGGGCTTGTGGGCAGATGCTTCCGCTGCCAGGGCCTCTGTGTCTCTGGGTGTGAAGTGGGATTGAACCAGCATGGTTGGGCCCCACTCCACCCTCTACCTGTCTGGACGTGATTTACTGATCAGAGCACTGCTGAGTCCAGGTGTGACCTCTACATCCTCGCACACACACGCACAAACACACACACACAGCCTCGGCCAGTGGTTCTGAGCTGGCATAAGTGATGGAACCCTCTTGCCAAGCTTGGAGAAAGGGACCCCCGAGGGCCTTGGCACTTGGGAGAGCTGTACTTGCCCCCGAGTCCTGCCGTGGTGGGGAAGCCCCTCTCTGTGCTCATTACTTTGACCCTGTGTGCTCATCTCTGAGTGTTGACAGAGTTCTCTTAGCTGTTTCCCGCTCCTGCCCTGTGTCCCCACAGCCTGGGTCCTGACTCCACGGTGACCCGCCCGCCACCTTGGGAGGTGCTGCCTTCGCCCCCGCTAACTTGTTCTCTGCTGTGGACAAGAGCGTGATTCATTCCTCTGGAAAGCGGCTCGGGGTCATGAAAAACAAAGTCATGTTATCAGTGCAAGTGCAGCCGAGGAGAGGGCCTCCCTGGTGGGGGTGCCTGAGCTAGCACTGTCCAGCATGTGATAGTTGGAGATTTGACGTCCTGCCCGTCTTTATCAGAACAAAGGGGCCTCTGGTTCATTCGCCTCCTCGCCACACAGCAGCCCTCGTGCTGACAGCGTTTCTTTCCCTATGTGTTCAGGGTCCGTGACCCCGGCCTCCCTCACTTCCCCAACCCTTCACCCCCTCCATGGCCAACTCTGCCACAGAGTGCCGCTTCCCGTGTGGCCCCAGAACAGTTGTGGCCTGCTTGTGGCTCTGCGGGTGGCCCCCCTGCCTGGGGGAGTGTGCTGTCCCCACGTCGTGCCCTCCAGGGCCTTTGCCTTGCCCCTGGCCTGAAGTCCCTCCTGCTCTCCTAGGGCTGGAAGCCATGGGAGAGGCGTGTTCGGGCTTGTCCATGACCTCTCCAAGCCTCGATTTTCTTATCTATGAAATGGTGTTAGGACCAGGAAAACCCCATACAGTGTGGGAGGAGTAAGTGACTTGGTGCATTCACATGCTTCACACAGTGCTCGGGCCCTGGCAAGGGCTTGGTAGGAGGTGCATGCCAGTTGGATCCCGTGACCTCTCAGAGCCTTAGTTTCCTCTTCTGTAAAACGGGGATGCTGATAGTTCCCACTTAGGTGGGCAGCTGGCTGTGAGGAGTAAATGTCTGTGGTTATAAAAGTGCCTGAGGTCTGCTGAGTGCTTACAGCCATGCTTGCAGCTAGGACTTTAGATACGGCCACCACAATTGTTCGTGTTACTCCTGTCCTCCTGGATACAGGACTACAGCCCACAGCCAGCCCCGGTACCCTGGGAGTGATGGGACAGCCACCTCCTGGGGGACTCCCACCCCCGCTTCCCCCAAACACAGGCCCACAGCCCAGGGTGGGGGATGGCCGACCAGTAAAGGAGCACAGCGTCCCCTGTGTTCCTGTTCTTGATAGGAAGGAAGGTTACAGAGAGAGAGCAGGTTGGGGGACATGGGGACGTGTGGCTTAAGGATTTTAGCCGCTGGGTGCATTTCCCAGGGAGGATCTGGGCTGGGTCCCTGAGTCTGTCCCTCCGAGGCACACACACCCAGCGGCCCTCGGATGACTGAGGTGACCTCAGGATAACCTTCCAGCCTCGGAATTTCTGGGATAAATTTTCCCCACAGTCTGTGCTTCAGCATGAAGCCGGATATCTGATAAGGCCAGGACGTTTCCTCTTTTGTGAAGAGAACCATCCTTTGGGGAAAAGGGTGACAGGCTGCGCTTTCCAGAGGCCCCAGGAAGAGAGGAGCCAGGCGGGGGCTGGCGTAGAGAGGGATGGAGAGATGCAGGGGACCTTCCTCCTGCCGCCAGGCGCGGTGCTGTCAGCGCTGACCTGGGCATCCCTCCCTGTGGGTGCGAGATTCAAGTTCAGAGTCAGACCAGACACACTGACACTCGAACTTCATCACGCCATTGTTTCCAGATTCCTGTTCTAGTATTTATTCTCAAGACATTAACAAGAAGACGCTGGCTTGGGTGGGTGGGGCACGTAGGGATGACAGAGGCAGAGGGAGGCTGATGTCAGGCGGGGAAGCCGAGCCCGGGGCTTGGGTTTGCAAAGCTGGCCTTGCTGCATTTTGTTGCGAGCAAGGAAAAGAGTAAGATGCTTTGCCCCAGAAGGGGCTTAGCTCGAAGGGCCTTCTCTGAAGGCAGTATTCACGTTCCTGGGGAAGTGGTTTGGGGCTGCATTGATCTTTTTGAGATGTTCCTGACAGCCCTAAAGCATTCTGCCTGTGGGATGCTTCCATTAAGCCTCCAGGTCCCAGGGGTGGAAAGGAATTCTCAGAGCTGGGAGATTATGCTTTTTTTTTCTGGTTACCCTTCATAGGCAGGTTGGAGGGTGTGGGCCTGGGGCTTATTGCAGATCACTAAAGCTGGTTGCCGTAGAGACCGCCCCCCCCGCCCCCCAACAAGCCTTTCTTCTTCTTTTTTTTTGGATTGGCCTTAAGAGGGCTTGGCTTGCAGAATCATCGGATGATTCAGTTGTTTTCTGCGCCAAGGTTCATGTGGAACCAGCAGCCCGGTGCCACTGCGGCTCTGCCCAAGATTCAGTTATCAGTGAACAGACTGGGGCAAAGGTCCCTCAAGTGGTGCTGGGGCGGGGGGGGCAGGGGTTCCTGTCCCAAATCAGTGGTGTCCTTGCCGCTCAGCTGCTTCCTCAGGGGAGCAACGAGAACCTTCTTCTCATTGAGGCATCCAGGGCCACCTGGATGTGGTGTGGCCACACCAGGTGTGGCCAGGGGTGGTCCTCCTCCTGCTGCCCTGTCTAGCCTCAGAATTGCCCAGAAGGGTTCCTGGGATCTTGTTCCAGGAGGCACGTGGAGCTGTCTAGGTGGATTGTCCCTGAATGAGCTTAGAAGAAGGTTTGAGTCTAAACTGTCCCCTCTTCTCTCCATCTTGATTAGCTGGAAGGATGTTAAGTGTCCCCCAAATAGTCCCTGAACCCCCAGTCTGAGCACAAGGGCAGCATCCTTGGCAGTGGCACACTGTTGCTAAGCACTGTCAACGGGGCTCCCAGTCTAGGAGGGGAGACCACCGGGGAAACCAGGACCTGCCCTCGCAGCGCCCTGAGTGATGAGTTAGGACAAACACAGACCTGATCACTGCACGTCCTGGCTTAAAACCACTCCACGCCTTCTCATTTCGGTGTAATAAAGACTATAACCTTTAACATGGCTCCTGAGGCCTGTGTGATCTGGCTGCTGCCTCCCTCCCCAGCCTCTTCTTGCCCAGCTGCCCCTTCCTTGCCACGCTGGCGCTCCCACAGCAGCTGCTCAAGCTCTGAGCTCTTGCCCGCCTCAGTGCCTTTGCACGAGCCGTCCTTTGCTTGGAATTCCACCCCCATCTTCAGCTTCTGCCCCTTCCTCGGGGGTGTCTCCCTGATTATCCAACGGAGGATACATCCCCTGTTCTAGACCCTCATGACTTTGCACTTTTCCTTCCTTCCATTTGGAAGTTCGTAATTCTTTTTCTGTTGCTACCGCCAGTCTCTTCGTTTGGGGTTAGCTCCACAGGAGCAGGGCTCGCGTCTGCTTCAAGCTCATGGCCACACGCAGTGCCTGGTATGTAGGAATCATGCCTGCATGTTTGTGAAGTGAAAGAGCATCGTGGGTGCTGGCTTTCTGCAGGGCATCTGGTGGGTCAGTGGAAGGAGGGAGTGGCTCCAGTTGGCAGCTGGGAGCAGCACACGAGGAGGACAGAGGCCAGGAGGCATCAGAAGGCAGATAGCCCTGCCTGTTGGGTGCGTGTGGGCATGCCTCCAGGTGTGGGGAACAGCAGGACGATAAGGTTGGAGAGAGGGCTTTTTCACGTCAGGCTGTGGAGCCTGGACCTTACCCTGCAGGCTGGGGGTGGGGGGCGATGAGATCAGATTTAACTGGAATGAGAGAAGCCCTGCTTAGGAGGGGAATTGCCAAAGCCAGGTGAACTCTGAGCAATGCGGACACCAGTCACTGGGGCCTGGCAGTGTCTCAGATGAAGAGGGGGCTGATGCCATTGGAGGCTCAGCAGTGCCCCCTCCTCACCCCAGTACCGCTGTGGTCCTGGGTGCCCCCTCCCTCAATTGTGACAGGCCGGCCCCTGAACAGCCTGGACCTGGCCCGGCAACCATAGGCCCGCGAAGGACAATGCCCCACCCACCTCTTGGGTCTGTGTCCACTGTTTGATGGTATAAAATGGATCTGGGAAGGGAGCTCGTGCCTCACTGGCGTGGACGCAGGCAGGCAATGACACCTTGCACATTGGTTCTCTTCCAGTGTTTTACCTGAAAGGAAACAGCGTTGAATCAACCTTCAGCTCCCCACCCTCCCCCCTTTATCATTTAAAAAAACATGTTATTGAGATATAACTCACATACCATACAATCCAGTCACTTAAAGTGTGCAACCTGGTGGTTTTCAGTGTCTTCCCAAATACATGCAACCACCACAGGTAAAAGGACCACAGTCAGTTTTAGAACATTTTCATCACTTCAGAAAGAAACACTGTAACTTTTATCTGTCACTCCCCCTCCCAGCCCTAAGGAACCACCACTTTCTGTCTTTATAGATTTATCTATTCTGGACTTTCATATGGAAGGGATCATTTAATATGTGATCTTTTGTGACTGGCTTCTCTCACTTGGCATAGTGTTTTCAAGGTTCATCCATGTTGTAGCATGAATCACTGCTTCACTCCTTTTTATGGCTGCATAGTGTTCTGTTGTGTGGATAGACCACATTGTGTTGACCCAGTCATCAGTTGATGGACATTTGGGTTGTTTC